TACCCCCATGCAAGAAGGCAGGCAGGCAGGTATGCAGCATGGGGAAGAAATTCTCCTGCAATGTGCCAGAATAGCTGTTTTTTAATTGATACCTCACGTTGGTGGCTTGCAGGGATTCTAATGTTGTCCCTAATTTAGACCTGTGCCACCAGATCAGTTTCTTTAGACATGTTGCTGGAAGTTTTTCCTCACTAACACTACTGAGATTTTGGGTGGTTTGGTAAAGGATTCTACTCCAGGCACGTTTAAATTTACCCTAACCAAGGCCAAGTATTTGGCAAGCTCTTAGTAATAGTAAATACCACTGCTTGTTGTTTGCTCCAGAGATGGATTCTGTTCTGACAGTGGCATTGATTAAAATCCCTGAGGATGCCAAAGTTAAACTGAGAAAATGTGTCCTTTACCATTTGGAGCCAAAGTTTCAAGAGGCATGGAAAGAAATGGTTGGAATGTTCAGAAGATATTCCTTTCCCATGGATCTCAGTCTGGCTTCTTTGATGGACAACAAGGAATTTCAAGCTGTGTAAGTGATGGTAACCAAGAAGAGGCATTGATTAAAATCCCTGAGGATGCCAAAGTTAAACTGAGAAAATGTGTCCTTTACCATTTGGAGCCAAAGTTTCAAGAGGCATGGAAAGAAATGGTTGGAATGTTCAGAAGATATTCCTTTCCCATGGATCTCAGTCTGGCTTCTTTGATGGACAACAAGGAATTTCAAGCTGTGTAAGTGATGGTAACCAAGAAGAGATGTGTCAGATTCCAAGTTCAGACAGACAGGCTACGTCTACACTGGCATGATTTTCCAAAAATGCTTTTAACAGAAAAGTTTTCCGTTAAAAGCATTTTCGGAAAAGTGCGTCGAGATTGGCAGGATGCTTTTCCACAGAAGCACTTTTTGCAGAAAAGCGTCCGTGGCCATTTTCGCGATTGGGGCTTTTTTGCGGAAAACAGTATTGTTGCTGTCTACACTGGCCCTTTTGCGCAAAAGTCTTTCAGAAAAAGACTTTTGCCCGAACGGGAACAGCATAGTATTTCTGGAAAAGCACTGACAATCTTACATGAGATCGTCAGTGCTTTTCCAGAAATTCAAGCGGCCAGTGTAGACAGCTGGCAAGTTTTTCCGCAAAAACAGATGATTTTGCGGAAAAACTTGCCAGTCTAGACACAGCCACAGATAGATAAATGTAGATTCTGTGCTTTTGTTCTTAGTTTTGCACTAGTGTGTTATGCATTTGCATCACTTCTTCACATCCTGTTAATTTGAAAGATTGGAAAGTTTGAAAACAGAATAGAGGTGCTTGTTCTCTTGACAAAGACCTTTCCTCCAAAGAGCAATGCAGACACTGAAACTCTTCAGGTTGAAGTAGAATGCAGTTTGGGCATAGTTTCCAGTAAACCCACTCCCCAAATGGGATCAGAACCCCAAATAAATCATTCAGGTAAGCTCCCTTT